TGTGCTCTGAGACAGAGCAGCACGGTCCTCTGAAGCCCACACAGGAGTTTGGCGTAACTAGTAGAAGTCCAGTTAACAGAGCAGTGTGCTCTGAGGTAGAGCAGCACGGGCTCAGAGGACAGCAGCTGCTCCTGAGCAATGGGAGGGCCCTGAGGTCAGGAGCCTCCGTGAGGGAAAGCAATGCTGAAAAGAAGGGGGAGACAGCGGCCAGCGCGAGGATGCATCCGTGCCCCTGGGCCGGGCATGTGAATCGCTGCGGGAAAGACAGCAATGTTCTGCCTGCCACAGTCTTGACAGCACCAACAAAGCAAACACCATGAGAGCACGAGGCCTGTGCCGTGATGGGGGCTGGGCTGGGCCAGCCCGGGAGGGGGCGTGCTCGCTCTGCCAGAGCAGGTCGCGTCACAACCTCGGCACCCCCGTAGCATGCAGAGCCCACTCCAGCCGTTTCCCCTCGGAGCTGCACCCCACCTCCCCAAACCTCCGTGGGAAAAACTCAGCATCTGCCTGGCTTTGGGGGTCTGAGCTGAACGCCCATGACCCTGGCAACCACAAAGCTGGGGGCCCCCTAACCTTCACCCTGGAGCCCCAGCCACCCCATCCCACCCAGAGCTCAGACATGCTGTGGCCGTCCCAGGTGGGACTCGCCCAGTTGGTGCTGGAGCTGGGGAGACTGCAGCTTAGCCTCTCGGGATGGGGAGAGCCTGGGCTGGGCTCCCTGCTGATGCCCATCAGCCCTTCACCAGGCACACGGGCTGTGACAGGCAGCCCTGAACCGTTGCCAGTGGACAGCCTCCGACGCCAGGAGCCAGCGAGGGAGGGGCAGGGCCTCACCTGGTGCAGGGCCTCCACCACGCGTACCACATCGTAGAAGATGACCACGGTCTCCCGCTCGCTGAGCCGCTTCTCCTTGATGACGTAGTGCTGCAGGTTGATCAGGTCGGCGGTCTTGTCGCTGAAGTCGTGTGCACAGAGGCAGTCGAGGACCAGGCAGATGCGCTTCTTCATCTTCCTCACCATCCGGCTGGCCTCTGTGTCCTCCACAACCTCGCAGGTACGGTCCTGGGAGGCAGGGCGGGAGACCGGGGCTTGGCTGTGGGCTCAGCAGGGCCAGAGCCAAGGCCAGGGGCTGGCACACACTCTGGAGTTGGATGTATGGCTGCTCAGCATTGCTGGTTCTCGAGGTGCCTTGTGCCAGGGTTGGCAAGAGGGCAGGGCCAGGCTCTGGGACCCCAGCTTGGCGGCTGGAGTCCAGAGAGAGAGAGAACCAGGCTGCGCTTAACAGTGAGGGGCTCCGGTTCTCTGGTTCTGACCTCTGCTGATGTGGACGCCACCCAGTGGACAGACAGCACATCTCCCCTCATGCCACCCCTGGGGGCTCCAGCATTCCCCGGTGTCAATGTCCTTTAACCAATCGATGTCCAAGAGGGTGAAGGTGAGGTCACTCTCGGAGGGTCCTACATGCGTCCAGCCTTCCTGGCTCAGGTCCCGAGTACAGGGAGCTGCCGGCAGTGCCTGCCGCACAGGCTGCTGGGAGGTGCAGGTGGGACACACCCACTCAGTGCTCACACAGGTCCTGCCGTCAGGGGCGCAGAGTAGGGGCTGTGCTGCAAGCTCTTCGCACAAATCCAGTCGTGGCCTGGGTGTCACCCCCCCCAGCAGACTGTCCGTCCCCTCGGGGAATTCCTAGAGCTCGGACCATCCCCCTTTCTCCTTCAGAGCAGGGCCGCCCTCTCTTCTCTCCCCAGCCCACCCCACCCCAGGTCTGACACACAGACGGCCAGAAAGAAAGGTGCGCACGTGTTGACGAGAAGCCCAGCCTTGTGCGTGTGTTCCGCTTCCTCTGGGCGGTCATTTCTGGGTGCTCTCTGTGAGGGATTTCCCCACGACCTCAGGCAGGTCCTCCTACAAATACAGCCCCTGCTGCCTGGGCTTTCTTGTTCAAAGCAGCACACACCGATTGAGAGTCTGAAGAAATCGCAAGCACCCTCAGCTCCATGCCACACTTAAGAACATTCCCTTTTGGGGACTTGCCCCGTGATACCTGGAGCTGCTTGCCACTGGGAGATCTAAGGACAAGGCCTTGACGGGTGCCCACGTGTGGGGTGGGGGCGTTTTCCACTTGCTTTATTTCAGGAACTCAAATGGACAAGACTTAGCTCCTGAGACAACAATGGAGACGCCGTCCGTCCGTGTACCTGTAACACTCACTCCTCTTCCCCCACCCCCGAGGGCCGTGCCGTTAGCATCATTCCCATTTTACAGGTGAGGGAACTGAGGTTCACAGACCGGCAGTGACCTGCCCAAGGGCCCATGGCCCCAATCCAGGATTCCAAAGTTTGGGTGCCTGCCACAATTCCACGCTGCCCCTCCCATGGCAGGTCTCCTTTAGAAGGATTGGTGGCCTGGTGCTTACGCACTGGGCTGCCAGCGAAGGTCAGCAGTTTGAAACCACCAGCCGCTCCTCGGGAGAAAGAGGACGCTTTCTGCTGCTGTGAAATACAGTCTCAGAAGCCCACAGGGGCTGTCCAGCCTGTCCTGCAGGGTGGCCAAGAGTCAGGATTGACCCAGCGGTGGTGAGTGAGCAAGGGGGGCTGCCCTGAGTTGGGGTTGACCCCAGGGCAGTGCGTTTGGTTTCCTGGAGGCTCCACGGCAGGGCTCCATCCTGCCGAACCCGCTCTGCCATCCAGGGGCCTCAAGGTGAGCTCTGCCCGGAGGCGGCTCTCCCTGGGGGACCAACTGCTAATGAACGTCTTTCCTGAGTGACCTGGGACATCTCAGCAGGGGAGCTCAGGGACCCATGCCTGACAGACCAACACCCGGGCAGGAGTCAGGACTGCTGCTCACACACCTGTGAGCTCTGCAGGGCCAAGTGCTGGCCCTCATTTCCCACCAGTGTCCAGTCCCCTGCCTCATGGGTGCTCGCTTAATCATCTGCAGGGAGCAATTCCACACCAGCGACGCTGCTTCCTGGGCTGGCTGGCGCCTGTCTCTCCAGCCCCACAGCCCCTTCCTGCAGAATCAAGGCTTCTGATTGACCCAGCAAGGAAGGTAAGCCCTGGTTTACTCGTGCTTCCTTACCTACCTGTAGTGAATCACTACCTTGACTGGTAGGAAGCATGCAAAGGTTTGCTACAGATTACTCTGCTTACCCTGCTTAATGGTGACCCACCCGGTTTCCTCCTTTCTGCCCCCGCCTGGCCAAGTCCTGACAACTCAGTTGGGAGGAGGTTCCACGCCACTGACACTGAAAGGGCTCTGTGTCTTTAAACAACTTCCGGTGCCCTCTTTTCTGGGAAAAGCGGTTTTTCAAAGGAAGCAGGGCAGGCTGTGTGTGTGTGTGTCCC